AACATTAAAGAATACACATAAACACGACAGTACGCAGGCATTGTTTTGTATTTATACGTACACTAGAAACCGAAAAACTTCTAATTACTTTTCAATGATTTAGACACTGTGTGACCATCGCCATAACGAATAAGTTTAACATAGTACCAAATACCTACATCTGGCGTAAGATTGTTAGCCCCCAATATATCTTTTGAAATATTATGTTCTAATAGTAAACAAAAGTGGTGATTCACCACTATCCTTCACAGTTAGCTACTGTGGGAAAATCTTTGTTTAAGAGATTACAAGGGATCTGTGACAGTGAACACCTAGCCGCAGAACTCCAACACATCCAGCAAGTTTTGCACGATAACAAGCTTCGGGTCCCGCGCCTATGTCATAGTGAACGATTGAAGTCAGGCACAGTCGAGCATGTGTCTACTGCTGTACTGCTATACGTCACAGATGTCACTGATAAGATGGGCTACATCTTGAAGCGTGCTTCCATTAAAACATACTTCAAGCCGCCAAAGAAGATAATTCAGTTTTTACAATCATTCAATTCCCTCTGCAAGATTCAGGAGTGTACAAGCTTGATGTGATTTTCTCTTACATAGAAGAAACAAAAAAAAAACGATAAAAACCCGTGTAAAAGAACTTATAGTTGACGAGAAGCACAGAGCAAGTCTGCAGTCTGCGAACATGTTCAAGATCGTCCCCGCCCAAGTGCTTGATTTATAGTTCTGACAGCCCTAGGCTAACTATGAATACGCGCCCCCTACGGGCCAGTTTTGTCTGTGTCTGCCCAGCCTACAAATATATTTACTAGATTTTTATAAAGGGTTACTTTGCAATATACAGCCAAATTTGCAGAGAAGGTTATTATTTTGCTACACACGCATACATTCGTAAAGGTCGCTCGGTTACAAATTTAGGTACCTTGTAGCGCGTCTTCCCGCGCCAATCCTACAGTTGACAGTGTTGACCGTGACCTCATTACGTACGAGTGTGATGTTTTTAAATTTAGTAGGTAGGTTCGCTTCGTTACCAATGATGGAACAAAAATATTAGAACCACCATATGAAATGGAGCGGTGTTACATTTTAATCAATGAACGTTTATGTGATGTGCAAAGATTATACAGATGTGTCTTTATCGTGGCAAGAAATTAACGTACGTGGACCTACCAATCGAAGAACAATTGACAGCTAATCAAACTATTCAAGTGCAGTGAGCGATAATTTATATAATGAATATGAAGAAAGGTGGATTGCGCATGGAGGCTCTATACTACGGCCTATAAACTCGCCTGACTTTTCACCGTTAGACTTTAATCTGTAGGGTGATATAAAAAGTCGTGCTTACGTATAGGAGGCCTAAAGTTATGAAGACCGCTGCAGCAAAATTAATGCTGTATTCACGGAAGTTAAGAGTGCTCAAGAACAGGTAATAAGTGTAAAGAATATATTTTATTTTTATTTTAAGAAAACTATGCATGGAGAGAAACGAATTCCATTTCCGATTACAGTGTGGGTGTCTTCAAGGCTAGAGTGAATTGGTTTTTATTAAGTCAGTGCGCTTCACCGTCTTAGGCTACATCATCACTTACAATCAGGTGGGATTGTAGTTAAGCTCTGGCTTAGAATAATATAAAAAAGTACTAATATTAATTACTGGGACTACTTGCGTAATTTAGTTGTAAATAGTTTATTCCAATTTTTTTTTAATATGCCATAATAATGACAGTCATCGGTTAGGTCGTTGATAAGCAAAAATGTTTTTAAATTTTTAATGACGATCCCAAGTCCCTTAAAAGTGTAAAGGGAACATTGGAATCATAATTTGCGTCGTGTAGCTATTAACTTAAGCTAGTTAGTAACTATAATTATAGCGTTAGTTACGAGCGTGTAACTTTGTGAATTGATCGCACACACAGGATCGCGCTTACGCGTGGTTATTGCTGATAAATTACATTCAATTTGGGATAATTTTAAATAATAGTAAAGATCATATTTACTCGTATTTTCAAAAACTGCAATAACGACTTAAATATAAAATTTGAATACCCTGCGGTTTCGCCTACGTTAAATGAAACTTTTGCCAATGAACAACTGCAACACCAAGGGAATTGCGTATGCATCGCCGGTGGTAGATGATCCAAAGTTTAACCTGACTCATAGATGAGGCGGAAGCAGTAGAGTCCAAGAGATAAGCCTTGGCCGTTACTTTGGATCATATATATGAAAGTGTTTTCATAGTCCACTTTTCAGACACAATAGTGACACAAAAGCAATGACCTATATGTAGTACACGGGACCTTGAAAGGGTTAATTAAGAGGTCACTTCACACCGGCCGAACTGGAGACAGTGCTGAAAGCATTGAACCCAAGGAAAGCTCCGGGCCAAGATGGCTTAACTTCAGATATTTGTACTGTAGCCATCCAAAGCGAAAAGGAGGTATTCTTGGCGTTGGCAAACAAATGCCTATCGTTAGCATACTGTCCCAAGCAATGGAAAAAGGCACACGTCATAATTCTCCGTAAACCTGGAAAAGAGGACTACACTCATCCAAACTCCTACAGGCCTATAGGCCTACTACCAGTCCTGGGGAAAATAGTCGGAAAAATTATGGTGGGTCGCTTGCAATGGCACATCATACCCATGTTAAATCCGAACCAGTATGGCTTCATGCCACAGCGTGGAACCGAAGATGCCCTCTACGACTTAATGGACCATGTAAGATCAGAACTCCACAACAAGAAGATGATGCTTATCATCTCTTTGGATATAGAGGGAGCCTTCGACAATGCATGGTGGCCAACACTCAAGCACCAGCTCATAAAAAAGAGGTGCCCAAGAAATATCTACGCAATGATAAACTCATATCTTAGTGACCGTAAAAGGTCGTGGTCAACTATGCCAGAACAACAAGCGAGAGGGACACCACAAAAGGTTATGTGCAGGGGTTTATCGGAGGACAAACCTTTTGGAACATAATTTTAGATTCATTGTTGCAAAAATTAACAGAGGAAGGAGTATATTACCAGGTATTTGCAGATGACGGAGTCCTAGTATTCTCCGACCACACGGTCAATACCATGGAGGAATCAGCCAACGCAATACTGCAGAAAGTAGTCAAATGGGGAGAGGAAAACAAATTAATTTTCGCAGCATACAAGACTAACGCGATGCTTCTGACAAAGAAACTTAAATTCAATCTCCCAAAACTCTACATTTCAGGGAATAAACTGCAACTGGTTGATCAGATAAAACTCCTGGGAATTATAATAGACAGGAAACTCACATTCAAACCACATGTGACCGCTGTCTGTAAAAAAGCTGCGGAAATTTATAAACAGCTAGCGTGCGCGGAAAAGTAACATGGGGCTTAAATGGAGAAATAACAAGGACAATATATGTAACAGTCATAGAACCGATTGTGTTGTACGCTTCAAGCGTTTGGGCTCCAGTGACAGAGTTGCAAATGATTTGCGATCAACTGGACAATCTTCAAAGAGGATTTGCACAAAAAATCTGCAGAGCGTACCGCACAGTATCGCTCACGGCGTCTCTGGTACTCTCTGGTCTATTAGTTGTAATACGCGGAGAGATGTAATAGTTTAGAAATTCAATATGTAGTATAATAATAATTCAAAAATGTAATAAAGGGTACGGACCGCGAGTCTGTAGAGTAAACGATTAATAATTTTAAAAAAAGTTAAAAGGTCACCAGCTGAGCGACCCCGATGGAAACCGCGTTGGCGGTCACTAATCACCTGTTGGTCCTCAAGGTACCTTATGAGCTTGTAGTTTATAATAGATTCCATTATTTTGGAGAACAAGGAGGTGATGGCGATAAGCCTGTAGTTGGACGGATCTTAGCGGTCACCCTTTTAGGGATCGGGTGCACTAAAGCTGTCTTCATGAATTCAGGATTACGCCAAGGGAGCAGAAGTACCGAAAAAGAAGTATTAGAACCAGTACTAACTCCTGGGCTCCCGTCAAAATAGGAGGGACTCCATTAGGCCCGGCTTGGCACGCTAAGCGCTGTGAAACCGCACTGTGCAATCCAGCATGGAGTACTCATTTGCGAGATGGTCGGCGGTGGGTACTCCCCGTCATCGAGAGTCAAGTTAAGCACAAAAAGAGAGCCCAAAAGGTCAACTTTCTCGTTTGTGGCATGGCCAGTGACTCGTCTTTTTCTGCGCAGAGATGGAAGAGATGCCTGATAGAAGTTCCCTTGGACAGCCTTAGCAAAACACCATAATTAAATTAGATGTAGATAAGAAAGCTTGAGCAATTTAATATCTTTGAATCACAGCCAGTCATTCAATGAAAGATGAAAGGCATCAAATAATTAAATTTCTTATTTTTATAATCTTTTTATTGGTTTTGTACCGAAAATAAAGTAAGAGTAATAAGTAAAATGCTTGCGGCACTTACTATATTATTAATTGAGTTATTATTTTATTCTGTACATACGAGTAAAACGTCTTATACACAGTCCATCTTGCTGTACATCAATAATTACGTACGTCAAGCCTATTCTGTGTAAAGGCCGTCAGCAAGATAGAACATGTATAATTAAGACGTTTAAGTGGTGCTTGCAAAGGCAAGAAGTTCTTGGTTCAAGAAGTTCGTCCTCGGTCCTTGCGCCATGGGTTATCTGTGGTGATTAATGATTACATACTCTTTGGACAGAGTTGTCTACGTCTACGATTTATTTCATAAGTTCGTAATGTCAGATATCAATTTCCAATTCAAAAAGTATTATTAGAAGTGCGTTGCAGTGCCATTGTATAATTTAAAGCAATATTGTACATTAGTAAACACTTCCAGGCTTCGTTAGTATATTTATAGTTGATTGTAACAAATTCCATTAAATTTACGTGTTTTGCATTACCATTCGATCAGCTGAGTTTTGTTTGTTGTCATAGTTCCTAGACTCCATTGTTTGTCAGTAAAAGGCGTTTTGGATCCTACGCATTAGAGGGACAAGGAACTAAAAAATAAAAAAAATGAATGAAATTAAGTCACTTGAACACGCAACTCTGAAGGTATGTTATGAAAGATATAACGTCTGTTGTGTAACACTAATATTTTTTGTACAGTTATTGTTGGACATTTTGGTTACATTTATAATTTATTTACTCATCAATATGGCTTATAAAAATAATGATTTGTTTATAAACGTGGTTATTAAATTCCACAATTTCGATGGATGTATTCTTTGTCATTAATTTGGCTGAAAATAGCTTATACCCTCATGTCGCAATGTCTAGAGCTAATATAGTATGCTGCAGTAGTTGTTAAATATACTATATTAAATTTAGTTATTCATTACTACTGCTTGGAACATAACATCAAAACATTTTTTGGTAAAACCTTTGCTAAGTACCCATTTTTTTAATTACTTCATTCTTATTATATAAATAGCAGAATGATTTTATGGCTAGTATATTAGTATATAGTAGTTATTATTATATCCAGTTCTTATAGTATAGTATAAGAACTGGAGACTTTTTTTACTGGTACCAAGGCTTAATCCATATGTCTTATTCCTCATGGATAGGAATTTTATTCGTAATTGGGGATAGATATAGGTTTTTGTTACCCAGCACCCACAATAACATCAAGTGAAGTTTGTGCTTGTTTGTCATTCTTATTTGTACATAAGATATGCTTAAGTTAAATACAATCTTATAATAAATAATAATTTCTACATATTATTACATATTGTTTTTAATTTTACTATATTATTATGATTATATTAAAGGGGTTATATAAAAGTTAAATATTTTATTATTATATTGCTTCTTACCCATTAGTACCGTCAAATGCCCTAACTTTTCACGAATATTGATATTATTTAGTTTTGTCGTGAAATAAATCCTGAATTTGTACTTTTTAGCAGATAGAAATTAAAACAAGAGTAAAAGCAAGACTTAGGTATAATATATAACATTTATTTTAGACATTATGCTTAATATTAATAACTTTTTGGAGGTATTTTAAGAAATAGGCAAAGTTATGTCTAATATTCCTAACATTGCCAGAGGCGTTTACTCCAAAATAAATATATGCATTTAATCCTGGGACAATCTTAAATGTAGCTTAATAATTCAACAATACAAATCAATTTCGAATAACACCTTTTGGCGTATTTTAGTAGATAAAATTTTATAAGGCAATGTTAGGACACAATTTCTTCCAACATCCATACATTGACAAAGAAAGTGTAGGGTTGTCTCATAAGAAAAATAAGTAGGTAACAAAATATTAAAATTATATTTAAAATACATGTTATAACACTTAATCAGTCATTCTCATTGCAAGCAGTTTTTATTAAAATTACAATCAGTCTTTCGAAATTAACCCTTTTTCTTAATAAACATAATCTATAAACGCACAATACGACATAGTAAAGTTTTACTTTATCTATCCTAAAAAAATACAACAATATCACAATGAAGTCAAAAACTAATTATCAGGTAACAAATTTCAATAAATGTTTGACAAAAGAACACCTAAATTATCTAAATCAAACTTTAATGTCCCTCTACGTCCGACTTGTGGATTTGGCAACGTTTTTTCTACATCAAGTAAAGTTATTTCTGAGACATCATCTACTAGTGGCCAGTAAAATGTACCTTTTGAATTTTTTCGTAAGTATTTTATAGTATATACGCGCTCCAAATCGTTGTACTTGATTACTAGACCAATATAATATTTAGCCAACTTTGATGTTGAAAATTTAACAAGAACATATTTATCAACACCTATTTCATAAATATCATTTTCTTTATCAATATTTTGTTCCAATTCTTCATACATTTCATCTATGTATGTTTCCGTGTCACTTAGAGATGGAAGAAAATGTTCATCACAAGACGAATCGTGCACAGTATACATTCCTGAGCTTTCTGAACTCGACCCTTGATTGCTCCTACTTTTTGGAAACACCTTTTCATGCTTAGTATAGTCATCTGAAACACTATCATCAAATGAGATTCTATCTGGGGATTTTATAATTACATTGGAGAGAATTCGGCTTTTCGTCATAGTTTCATTTGATGTAGTTGCATCACAGTTAGAAATATTTTTGAATAAAGTCCGGTCATTTGATAAACATAAATTTTTATCAACATTCACAATAACGCCTGGTTGAATGTTGTAAATACTTTTAGTATTTTTCTGGTCCGATAATTCCATATCTCCATGTTTTTGATGTATTTCAGCATTTACTATCAAATTAGTCATAAGTTGGTCATTGTCAGCATCGGATGACGAATCTCGCCTAACGTTTAATGAGACATTGTCAAAAGTATAATCCACACTTTGATTATACATAATCAAAGAATCTGCAATAGTTGAATGCGTTTCTTTCACTTCTTCCTGTAATTGGATTTCTGTGGGGATGATATTTTTCTTACGATTGAGTCTTTTTGCGTTACTAAGAGTTGTATCTGGTGCTTTTCGTTTTTTAGTTTTTTCATTTACGAGATCGGTAACAGTTATTGATTTTCCAGGCTCTATAAATATTTTGTTATTTGTATTTCTTATTTGCCGGTTCGCCGGGTTTCTTAAACCTTTCAAATAATTGACAAAAGTCTCATCGTAAGTAATGTTTGCTTGTGGCCTACGGTAATCTGGCAATTTCTTTAATATAGCTTCTGGATTAATGGGGTGTATCCCAGCAGCACGAAATCCGCTAATTATGTTTTTACTCTGTGTAATTTTTGTTGCATCTAGTAACATTATCAATAATTCGGGGAATATTTGTTTGTTTAATGTGTTAGAACTTGGGTGTCGAACTTTGTAGTCCGTTAAAATTCTCCTCCATTCTCTCTTCAATGGGCCGAAAAAGGCCACATCAAGAGGTTGAGTGTGGTGAGTGGAGTTAGGTGGCAAAAAGATAAATCTGATATTATGTTCTTCACACTTAGTTATTATATTTATATTCATATGTGACGATAAATTGTCTCCAATTAAAACTTTAGGATCAGTGGTTTTCACTGCCCATGGGATGATTATGGTATTAAACCAATCTTCAAAAGTATACGAATCGAACCAACCAGATTTGGTTTTGTTGTATCTGGTTCCTTCAGGCCCGTTTGCACACCAATTTGTCCACAAATTGTCTGCTTTGTATACGACATATGGTGGGAAAATTTCTCCACCTGCCGTAGCTGAGAACATAACAGATATCGCCGTCTTGGTATTGTTTAGTGTTTTGTTTGGGTATTTAGTACCTGCTTTAAATATGCATTTTTGAGATCCTGGGTTATCGGAAAAGTTGGTCTCATCATAGTTCACTATATGATCTGGTTTGACATTATGCAATGAAATCTTCAAATTTTCAAAATATGTATTGTAGTCCTTTACACTCTTACTAGCTCGGGATTCTTTAATATTATTTGTAGAACGCACCGTCAGGACATTTTTGTGGCGTTTCAAGAAGTTTCTTACCCACTTCTGACCCGGCATTTTGTTGTTAAAAATATTACTGAGTCCATTTTTGATTAAGTAATCATGTACGATTGACCTTAATTCAAAGCTAGTAACAGGATACCCATATTCTCCACAAAGAACTAAACAACTGACTATTTTCTGTTCATCAGCTGGTGGCAGTTTGGTGGGACATCCGACTTTTTTCGTGTGTTTTTGTTTTACTTTATTTAAAATCGTGCGGCGAGGGATACCAATTTGTTTCTCAGCGTCGTATGAAGTAATATTTTTATTTTCAACGAGACCTACAGCAATGTTTAGTAAGCTCTTATCGTAATCTTTATATTTTCTTCGCGGCTTGTTCATTTTGATTGTCCTTCAAATAAACAGAAAACTGAGTAAGTATACACAAATATATACACAATAATAACTATATATAAAAAATAACTATATATATATAGTTATTTTTTACTATTAACTAACTTTTTGTTCCATTTCAGACTCCATTGACATTACAAAATCAAAGCAACAAATTATCTAAAGTAGGTAAACATAATATATATATATATATATATAGGTCACGCGTCCGCCTCATTAAAATTAATAACAAGTGTCAACCCTAGGCTCGGCAATGTTCGGTACACTTGTTCATAAAAAATGCCAAACTTTGCCTACACCAGTATTTCTCAATAATTATTAGTGTATTTCTATCGTTAAAAATGACAATTTATCAAATTATCATAGTTTTACGGAATGACTATAAAACAAGTTACAATTAAACATATTTCAATGACTTACTTGAAAAGTTTTCTCACAACTCTCGTAACCGCCGTTCTAAACTTTGATTCAGCACCCGATTGTCAAAAATCTTTGCATTTTACCAACGTGATGCCACTAATTTTGTGTTGCCAGATAATAATTCTAAAAATATATCAAAGTTTCCGTTGTCAGGCTTATAAAATAGAAGAGATATTACTTCTTTTTCATTATGGGCAAACATTGGACCCTTGGCAAAGTTAGGGAGTTTGACGGTATCTCTCTTGTTGTATCCAATCAGTGTTGCCAAGTCTAGACCGGTCGGAGTCGCCAAAAATTTGTCATCAAGTAGCCTAAATTCGCCTAATTTGTTTTCTCTGTGATGTAGCCTGAAATCGCTTGCTGGATTGTCAGGTAGTATAAAGCCTATTTTTAAACGTAGAGCTACCTTAATCAACCTTATTTATAACTAGCTGGTCCTCGCGACTTCGCCCGTGTGTAATTTAGGGTTTTAATTTTTTTGTGAGAAACCCTAATTATTTTTCTAAAATAAAATTAGCCTAAGTTACTCCTTATGACATCAGCTATCTGTCAGTGTAAGTCCCGTCAAAATCGGTCCAACCCTTTCGGAGATTAGCCGGAACAAACAGACAGACAGACAGACAAAAATTTTAAAAAGTGTGATTTTGTTATAAGTACCAATTATACTTTCATATGCATTTAGTAAAATGCAGTAATTTCAACATTACAAACAGACTCTTCAATTTTATTTATTTGTACAGATTTTAACAACATAAAATTTGAAGGAGTTTATCGTAAACGTGAAAGAAAATATCAACATATATAATGTGTT